ATATTTCTTCACCCATCATATGCCCATCTTCATTTTGAACAATTTAATTTTTTTTAACCGCAACTGTTTAAGCTTAGTCTTTAAATATCTTTCGTGGCCAAATTTTTTTCCTTAAATTCAATAAAAAAAAGGTTGAAATTAAGGTGAAAAATAAAGTCAAAACAATGTATGGTCAACTCTACCCCTGATGAGGGTAAAATTTTAAGCGAACTTTATCCATACCCAAACGGAACTACTTAAGAAGAATGATGATAACAAAAATAGACAAAGCTATGACAGCAATTGGCTTAATTTTTGTCAGCAATTAACACTTATTGGCTATGTTGATATTGAAATGATGTCTGGAGTCCAAATTTATGCATTTTGATTTACGTCAGTTTCAAATCCGACCACAACTAACCAATACTTGACTCTGGTATCCTTGGTAACGGTTAAGAGTGTAAATTCGAATAAACATCTTTGTGTAGTCTTTTAATCCTTCTCTCTTTTATTATCATATTTTTTTACTAACTTAACGATATTTATATCTATTTTTAAAACTATATATTATTCAAAGTCTATTTCAAAAAAAATACTTCAAAGGTGTTTAAACTGGTACTCCCACGTTTAAGAGTATTAAATGCCCCTTTACATAATATTGTTAGTTTAATTAATTTATAATTTATTTTTATTGTAGAAAAATATTTTAATAATTTTTTTATTACAAGAAGTTTTTTAAAAAAAGAATAAATTTTAAATTAAAGAATCATTTAATGATAATACATAAATATATCTAAAAATTGATGAGTAAATATATTTTTTATTTTTTTAATATAAAATTAAATTTATATATTTAGGAAAAGTATTGTATTATAGACAATTAGTGTTTACTCTTTTTTTAATATATAGAATATATATCATATCTACCCACTTCTCTTAAATACTTGTTTATTCAAATTCTTGTATGCTAGTTAAGTTAAAAATTAATATTTTTATTATTAATTAAAATACAAAATTAATTTACAATAAAAAGGTTAAAAATTACTAATTTTTTTTTAATTATACTAAATATGTATGGATAATTTTTTTTTCTAGTAAACAGAATTTAAAAACTGAGAAACAAACAACCACCTTCCTAGGCCACAAAATACTAAAGACATCAAGTCTTAACAATGATTCAAAGAAAGATAGAGCCTTATTTAAATATAAGTGAAGTAGCCTAACTTGTACACCTATCATAGAAAGCTAGTTAGCACTTTGATTAGTTTATCTAAAAATATGATTAAGTTTAATAAAAGAAATATATTTGAATAATATCTTAATCTCATTAATTACAAAAAAATAGGAGTAATTATAGTTTTAAATATTAACAATTAAAGAAATAATCTTTTTAAAATCACATTCAATTCAAATAAAATCAAATTTTCTATCTATGATAAGATGAAGTTCTCAAAAATTCTCTATAGCTTAGCTAGCAAAGGAAGATAATGATCTAGAGTTCTATAAAAATCAGCAATAATTTTTTTATTATTATCACATATAAGGCCTTCACAATTAATAGATTCAAGCTCATAAAAAATTATCAATATTCAGCTTGAATTGATCATTTAAAAGAGGGTTTTATTTTACATAACTATAGATATTATTTAACCAAATATATAAAAAAAAAATAAAAAATGTATGAATAGTTGTATTCCAATTCTTTAACTAGCGTGAGTTTTAAATTATGCATGCGTGTATTTTAGAGTTAGCAAATGATTCACATATCCCCAGACACGGCTATTTTTAAATGCACGATAAACTAAGCCACGTTTCTCTCATATTATACTGGTTAGCATGAACCTCGTGTACATTTTAAAATATTTTCTTATGAATTATTTTACTAACCAAGTAAAGGAAATATAAATGTTTCTATGTTTTTAATACCATGGAAATATTCTATAAGAAGGTATAAAATTACTTTATATTAAAATTAATTTTTTTATTATGTATGTCGACTTTTGATTTAAACAATAAAAATAATACAATTTTGTTTTTATTTTTTTATGCATATGTTTAAAATAAAATAAAAAATATATATATTTATTATTATTATTTTTTTCAAATTAAGTCCATATTTTATTTTAAATTATGTTAAATAAGTTTATACTTTTGTTGCCTGTGAAATGATTAACTAGCTTTGTTAATTTTGTTCTGACAATCTCATTTACAATTACAAAATTATGGTGGAAAGGGTGGGTAAGTTCATCATGTTCTCTTTACAATGATATTAATATACTTTCACATAAAGTTACTTATCTTTTTTTTTTTTCCTTTGTAGGAAAGGATACGATCAAGTTTATCTCTTTGAATAATTATAAATGTTGGAGGTGTCAAAGGATGTAATTTTGTGCACTATGATGATTTTAAGATGCTTAGTATCACGAATGCTTTGCTCTTTGATTTGTTATATATATCTTATTATTTCTCTAATCTCTATATATTTTATATTTGCTATACTTTTAATAATTTAATATAGCTAATCCCACATATAAAAAAGTTGCAACAACTAGATTTACAAGATTCACGTGTTATTTAAACTATCAAAATTGTGATACATACAATTGTGTTATTAAATTCACACAACACACGAGAAAATAAATTGATGATCTAAGGCTTAAGTTTTATTTACTCTCATGGTTAATTTTTAATATAACTATTTACAGAAACATTAAGAATACCCTCCTTTAAGTATATTATTTAATATATTTTATAATTGATCAAATTTTTTAAAATTAAAATATTGTCTTTTAATTGTTTTTAAAATATTTTAACTTTAAAAGTATATTTTTAACTTCGTAAATTTATTTTCAAAGCTAATTGCCCACATAATATTTTATTAATTATCAGTGGTTATTGACTAATACTTTTTTTTATGATACTTGATCGTTTGTTTAGAAAGGAAGAGTTTTAGAAGAGGAGAGGATAATTTTTTTCATTTAAAATAAATTTAAAATTAATATATTTTTTAAATATAAAATATAAATTAATATATTGACAAAAAATAATGTATATTATCAACATAAATGATATTATAAATTTTTGAATTTAAAATTAAAAAATATTTTTTTCTTTTTCCTCTAAAAATCCTCTTTCAAATACTCCCTTAAAGATTATATTAAAAAAAGTTTGATTATAAACTTATTTTTTATATTTGATATTATTATTTTTGTTTTAGTTCTTGCATAAAAATTATATTTTAATTTTTGTATATAACATTATAATCTGTTTATTATCAAAATTAAAATAATATTAAATTTATTTCTTATATTAATAATATATATCAAAGTTAAATATGTTATTAAAAAAATCTTAAACAATAACTTGTTCAAAATGATTAATAAAAAACATTATTATAAAAAAAATTGAGCTAAACATACATTTTACTGTTTAAGGATGAAATTTCTCCTTAAAAAAAGTATTTTTATAGTATGAATTATTAACCAATTCGCAGATGATACCATTTACAAGCATGGAAGTATTGTCGAAATTTTCTATAGGATTTTTAAAAGAGAGTGAGGGAGGGCTTTTTTCATAAATAAATTAAAAAATATTCGTTATACTCTAAATGTTTTTAAAAGAACAAATTACACAAATATCTTCAAACTACATATAATAAAAATTGGTTCTAATTAACTTTCATTAAATTTTTTAAAATTTGTAATATAAAAGTCAATTTAAATTGATTTTCATATTGTTTTAAAAAATTTTACATAAAAATCATTTTTACATAAAAATTGATTTAAATTAAATTCCATTATAAATTTATTTTTTTTATACAAAAGTTGATTTACACATAACTTGATTATTTTTATTTAATTTTAAATTTTTTATATATAATTTGATTTAAATTTACTCTTATTCTAGTTTTAAAATTTTTTTACACATAAGTTAATTTATATCAACTTTCATTTACATATAGATATTTTTTAGAAAGAAATTGATAGTGATTTAGATAGACATGTATGATAGGTTTTTAATTTAGTTTATGTAAGAGTTTTAATTATTAAAGTATATTAGTTTAAGACTCTTAATTCTATATATATTTTTATTTTATTTTATGAACTTTAGTTTTTTAATTATTAAAGCATGGTGGTGTAAGATATTTAATTTTAATTGACTTTAAATTTTATGTTCTTTAAAATATATCACTTATATATTTTAGCTTAACTTGATTAAATGTATCAAAAAATGATAAACAATAAAACATAAATAACAATTTAAAAAAAAGTAATTATATAAACTTAACAATATTACTTTTAGTATATAAAAAAATAAGGTCATAATCTTAGGATATACTATAACAAAATAAACTCAATAGTATTGTTTTTAATATATAACATGGTAAATCAATTATGTCGGCTAGAAGATGAAGTATGACATGTCGATTTGTTGTGATTGGATTTTACACAATCAATATCAATTTTTTTTACATTAATCTTATCCATTTTATTGTGAAACTTCATAAAATTTAAGTATTTTTTTCTCGTATTATTATTTCTCTCGTACTCCTCTAATATTAGACTCTCTAAGTGTAATAAAATAACTGGTAAACGGACAATCAATTAAACAAGCTTAATTCTCACATAAACTTACTGTATAAATAAATTTTGAAATAAGTTAATTTAAATAAATTTTTATATAAAAAATTTAAAAATAGAATAAAGAAGCCGATTTAAATAAATTATGTGTAAAAAATTTCAATAGCATAAATTGATTTTAGTGTAACAAAAATTTAAATTTATAATAAAAATTGATTTAAATCGATTTTTGTATAAAAATTTTTAAAATTAAATTAAAAATAAACATGTACTTTTAAAATATTTGCATAATTTTATTTTTTCATGATATTTAAAAAACAACTAATATGCTTTAATTTATTTATGAAAAAAAGCCGTGGGGGAGTGAGTGAAGTGGATCCCACTTGTCCTTTTCTGGTTGGCAAAGACAAGATTTGATGAGTGTTAAGTGATGCTCCTCATTTTCATTTTACCATAACAATTCGCCATCATGTCAAACGACGCCGTTTGGACCCTCGTTCTTCTCGCTGTCTCGCAATGCCTTCTCCCCGCCGCGGCACACTCGGCGATTCTTCTCCCGAGTCAACTCAACCGTGACTCGCCGCCCAGTTGCCCTGCGCCAAACCCCGACCTCTACTACCGTCCGGTCATCGGAATCGTCAGCCACCCTGGCGATGGGGCCTCCGGTCGCCTCAGCAATGCCACCGGCGCTTCCTACATCGCCGCGTCCTACGTCAAATTCGTGGAGGCTGCCGGCGCCCGAGTTGTTCCCCTCATTTATAACGAGCCACCGGATAAGCTTCTCAAGGTATCAATCATCGTCATCCATTGTTAGTGTCACTGCTTTTAATCGGAACCAAGAAAGTAAAAATTAAAGTAAATGAATAATCAACTAATTGATTCGTTCAAATTTGAGGGTGTTAATAGTAATAATAATAATAATAATTGTTAACTAGTCATTAAGTTAAGACTGAAAATTAAGCGAAGTTTTGACTGAAAAAATGAAACATTTATTTGTATTTTCAATACAATAAATGAAAATTTAGGATATCTAAATATTTATAAGTTAGCATAATCGTAAGAATCTTGCTAACTAATACTATTTTAAATAAGGACAAAATTTAGGTATATTAATATACTTTTGTACCATTCTCTAATGAAATTTGAAGTTTCATTCCGGAAATACACGCTTGTCAAGATGAAACTTTAATCTTAACTAAAAATAGTATCAAAAGTACTTACGATGCTACACTTGAATTTTGTCCTTTAAATAAAAAGATATTTATTGAAAATCATGTTTGCAGACCATGGGTCATGATGGGTGTTCATTTCATAGCATTTTTAATAACAATTGTTTTTTTATTCCTAAACGCATGCCTCGTAACAAATAATATTAGTACTAGTATTGTTCCATTAATCTTCTTGATTACAACAAAGAGGATATATTTTTCTAAAATGCAATGAGTCTACAAGGCTTAACTATTTCTGTGACTGATTCACAACTTATTAACTGGTTTAGTAACTAAAAATAGTACTTTTAAAACCATCCGAACTGCATTAGTAACAAATCTAACCATTGTCCTTAACAGCCAGCCCCGGTATAGTATTGAATAGCGAGGGAATAAAAAAAGAATTTTTTTTCTACATCTAACATTACCCGTAATTCTTTCTCTTATGGTGTAGAAATGTTTTTGATGATTTTGACTAAATTTTTGCACTCGTTGCAGAAGCTCGAATTGGTAAATGGGGTTCTCTTCACTGGTGGATGGGCTAAAAGTGGTTTATATTTTGAAACTGTTGGGAAAATATTCAAGGTATCTGCTTATCTTTTACTATTAATCACTTAGTGATATGCATGCTGATGTCAGAGTGACTTGTCAGCCAACATACACTTTTGTTGGAAATTACCTTCGTGTCTGAGGATAACTGAGACTTCTAGAATTTGGAATGAGAATAACCGGTGTAGGAATTATGATTCATGAGTGCATAGTTGATATTTTTGTTACTTGCTCTTTTGTTAGAGAAGTTTGTTTCCAAGAAGTTAAGGAATGCTCTGTTGATGCGTGTACTTTTGCATGTTAGAATTTCACGTATCAAGTTGTATTTGTCGTGCAGAAAATATTAGAGAAAAATGATGCTGGAGATCATTTCCCATTATATGCCGTCTGCTTAGGTTTTGAACTTATAACAATGATTGTAAGCCAGGTAAGTTTGCCTTCTTTTGGTTTTATGATTTGTGACTTTTGTTTGTAGATTTTCTTTTCCTAATAGGAAATGTCTGCAGAAGATAAATTAGATACTTGCCTACTCGTCTAGGTACTTTACTAATTAATCTTTTATTTTATAATGGGTTTTAGCCACCACGGTATAATTTTCTGCTTAATTTTCTTCAAGTGAGTACAGTTTTTATGTTATCTTATTATGTTTCCTTGCACTGCGAACATTGTTGTCCAAAATTTCCCTTGGATTTGAAATTCACAACATATGACAGTAGAAAAATTAGCCATTATATCAATTTGGTAAATTTTATTCTTTGTATCTATGTTAGACATTTTGCATGATATTCACAACGTTGAGATAACTGAGGACTTCTGACAATATATTCTAGTGTTCTTTTTTTGTGCTTTTCAAGTTTGGTTTTTTCCTCTTGATAATAGGACAATAATATTCTCGAAGAGTTTACTGCATCAAATCAGGCAAGTACTCTTCAATTTGTGGAGAATGCAAGTATCGAAGGAACTGTTTTTCAAAGGTAAACAATCCATGCTAGTAGTATTTCTCTGAAGTTGCACTTTGATCCCTTAAATGAAGTTGGAAGATGTGCTTTGAACTTAGGTAGTGTTTGGCCTACTTTTTTCTTGTCATATCTTCTCTTTAAAAGAAGAAGTTGGGCCAAACATAAGTTTGGAGAAGCTCTGAAAAGTAAGAGTAGCATTTTCAGGAAAAAGCTGATAAAACCGAGTTTTCACATAAGCTAAATGGAGGTCCTTATACGTTTAAAGAATAGTCAAACTGAAAAGAAGCTGGGCCTAAAACTACCTTAAAACTTATATCACTCCTATTTAACAGATATGCAGAGGGATTGGCATTTTGGTTTCATTGATGTTTAGCCATATCAGTGTTTAATTTAGTTTTCTTTGGCTACAGAGGATCAGATGTGCTCCATCTTAATGAATTTCTTCCTTTTTCTAAAAAGTAAAAAAGTTAATAAGATTAAGTTACGATAATAAGATTGGGTTTATATTTTATGAAAATTCTATTTTCCATTTGCATTGGTGAAAAAACCAATCAGTTCCTGGCAATAAAGCATCACCAAATTCCTATATTTGAGGTCCTTATAGCATGTTGTCACAGAAGATAATATGCAATAATCCGTTTTTTCCTACAGATTTCCTCCAGACTTGTTAAAGAAGTTGGGTACAGATTGTCTGGTCATGCAAAATCATCGTGTGAGTATATATAATCAATAAATTATTCTCAGCATGAGGCTTTTACTGATTTTTACAATTTGACAACAATTTAACTGGAAAGATTGTCTTCAATTAGAGTATTTATTATTTAGGCAGCTTGAGCTTACCTTTAAATTGGTCCTGTTTTATAAATTTACATCCTATATTGTTTGCTGATGGTACACCCCTGGGTGCACTGTTGCTCCACTATATATGAGTCTTTGGATCAACTGGATGGATGACCTGGTATATTCCTGAAATTAGGACAGTTCTTGACATGTCTGCCATTTTTCTTTATCCGAATATCGTTTGTGTTTTTACAATGCCATGGTTGACTCTATCTTAGTTCTTAAACATAAAATACAGTTTAATGAAATTCTCAGTTATACATGTTTGAAATTCAGTAATATAATTTTATCTGATTTTAAACATGACAGTATGGCATATCCCCTGGAAAGCTTCTGGATAATCAGAAGTTATCTAGTTTTTTCGAAATCCTGACAACTTGTGAGGATGAAGATGACAAGGTATCCAATATTATTGTATCTTAAAAATTTATACTAGTTTTCAGATCCATTTTTTTGACATTCATAACCTGTAAATTGTAATCAGCTTCCTTCAGATAGAAATCTAATAGCATCTGTAATTGTTTTAGGTTTATGTTTCAACTGTACGCTCACGAAACTATCCTGTGACTGGCTTCCAATGGCATCCAGAGGTGATTAGTAAATTTTCTGTGCATGATATGTTGCAGTATCATGAATTTTTTTTCCTAATTGCCATGCAATACAATTTTAGTTTATTATTTCAGCCACGTAATGTCCTTTATAAATGATGCCATAGAAAAATGCCTTTGAATGGGGTTCACCAAGAATTCCACACACGGAGGATGCCATTCAGATAACTCAGTATGTTGCAAATTTTTTGGTCAGGTTAGGCCTCAGTTTTTCAATATCTTAATCTGTTACTTCCTCCTCAGGCAGTATAATTGGTAGATGATTCTCAAATACCATTAGTCTCTCTGTATAGTTAGATGACACAGTTATCCGGAGTAATTGCCAGTGCAGTGAAAATTAAAGATGATGCAATTGTTGTTTACTGTTTATATTGATGTGAAGTATTGTGCATTAGGTATCTAACCCATTTTAATGGAGGTGAAAGTTGTCATGATTACCCTTTTACAGTCTCCTCTCCCAAGTTGCTACTTATTGTGATTTGTGAATCCCAACTATGAAATGATGGTATTTGATACATCATCTCATACTTACCAGTGACTTAACATTTTTCCACTTTCATGGATCTGGCACCAGTGAAGCTAGGAGATCCTTAAACAGACCAGCTGCTCAAGAACTGCTAGAAAATCTCATTTATAATTACAGTCCCACTTATTGTGGGAAGGCTGGGTAAGCCTAATACGTCTTAACGACTTTAATTTGTTTTGTACGTAAGGTTACTGATGCTGATGATCTTGCTGCTTGCAGGAAAGGATTTGATGAAGTTTATATATTTGCATAAGTTCAAATGCTGGAGAAATCAACCGATAATAATATTGTGCATAAATTGTATACACGAGTAAATAAAATTATTGTTATGCACAATAATGAGAGTAAGATGCTTAACGTTGTACCAAAACTTTGCTCCTTTGTGTGTTGTATCGCGATATTTCCCGGTCTCTGGCCTTTGCCTCTGCTAGAATTCCAATATAATAAGCTGTACATCTACAGAATTATTGCATGGCTAAAGATGGCACGTAGAGAAAATAGGTAAACTGATTAATACAATAATGTATTTCTTAGGAGTATTTTATTTTTTTGTTGTTGAAGATGACTATTTTCTTTAAATAAAAATACACCATTTTCTTTTCTCTCACTTTTCTATTCAACCAAATAAATGGAGAGAAAATTCAACTTTTCTTTTCCTTTTACTTCTCTCATCCATCCAACTTAAAAATTCTATCCTACTTGCAGTTATTTTTTATCAACTTATCTCCAGTCTCCACATCCAAACTAAGTGGTTGTTTCTTTGGTCACTACCTTTTCTCGTCATCTTGTTCCACATGTTGTTAGCTCTTTTGTGGGGTACCATATATCTCAAAGTGTATTGGCTTTTTCACGATTTAAATGCTAGGAATGTTATTTTTCATTTATTTTCTTCTTGACACACAATCATCACCAAATATCTGTTGCTTGCCTCCGCTCTCACTTGGTGTGACCAATTTGAAATGTTGCATTTAAATTTTGTTAATTATATTTGGTATGTCTTTATAATTATAATTTGAAATATCTTTTGGATTTTTTTAAAATATTAATTGACCTAAATATATTTTTAGTTAATATATTTTGTTATTTTATATAGTTAATTTTATTATTAAAACATTTTTATTTTAATAATCTGTTAAACATACCAAAATAAGCATGATTATTCATATTAATAAAATTACTTAGATAGTTGAATATGAATTTTACTTTGTAGAAAACTCTCATGGATAAGTTGTAACTATAAATTGCAAGTGAAGATTAATCCTGGGCTCTTTAAGCTTAGGGACATTTCATGATTTTTGAGGTTGAAAGATAAAATTATATATATATCAATCACAGAAACTGCCTCTAAGTACTTAAATTATAATATGCATGACCTAATATAAGTTGAAAAAATGTTTTTTTTTTCATTAATACAATAATGAGTACCCCATTACAATCTTGATGAGGAACCAATAGTATTACTAATCATAAAATCACTCGTCTTTCACTGTAAATGAAGTAAAAACAGAATTAGAGGGATTCACTCTCGAAATTAATAGTGATTCCGTATAAAACGAATGTAAAACCACATAAATGATATTTTTTAAAAGCCCAAAATAAAAGCTGGTTAACGAACCGTGTTAAAGATAATTACAGTGAGCCAAAAAAACTAATTGAGTATGTTTGACGAAACAAATTTATACTCTCTTTTTTTTGTCAATATTCAAGAAGAGCTATTTGTTAGAAAAAACTAATAAATTTTAAAATTTCACTGATGAAAAATCAACTAATGAAAATTATTTCAAATAACATCAAATTTATTAGGTGTTAACTTTCAGGATTTTTTATTTTTTAATTTTAACCTTCTAAAGAAATTATATTCACAAAATAATATTAATATTATTTTAATCATTTAACATATTTCAAGTAATTATATAACTAATTTTATTTCAATTAACTAGTTATAAATTTTTAGCTTATATTTTATCCAGTTTATATAAGAAGCGAACTTCAGATTTGGTTGAAAGTAGAATTGATAACTGGGTGGAAGGAGAATATGTTTATCTTAGAAATCGGGATTTACGCATATGACTGGGTTTCAAGTTGTAGCTAATATAGCTTATCAACTAATATCGCAAGTAACAGTCAAACTTAAATAGAAAATCAAACACATTCTATTCAAATCAAATCCGAGTAAAATAAAATTGCAAATATAAATCAGAGATAAATGACCTAAGTGAGCAGAGAGTGAATGAAAAAGGAAGCCCACATAAATTGGCGGGAAAACAAAGCGGAGGGAAATAAGAACAAAATCCCCTAACTCTCCCTTTTGTCATCGCTCACTTCCAATGGCGCAAACCCAAACCCTATCCTTCATTCACGAGATCCAATCTCTCGTGTCCGATAAGCTTCAAGTGGTATCTCACTCTCTCTCTACTTTTCCTCTTTTTTTGGTTATTTTTATGTCGTAATTTTTTTTCCTACCTATGAAATTCGGAGTTTTTTTTTTTTTTTTTAAGAATTTCCCCTCATTTTGTGGTAAATAATTTCATGCGGTATCGCATGTTCTTTTAGGTTTCGTACAAGTGGCTGAGTCGCAATTATATGGTATCATCGGATGAAGCAAAGAGGTGGGGTTTTCCTTTTTCTAAAAAAAATGGGCGAAAAGTTTTACTTGTAGAATTGCTGTTTATTGTATTCTTCTATTATGATGTTATGAAAGATTGAAAATTTTGTTTTATGTAGGTTGCTTCAGGAGTTTGTTCAAAAACATGAGGGTGGATTGGAGGTGGTATATGCTTTATCTGGCTGGTTGAAGAGTAACCATCCCTGCTACAACGTAAGGCTTGTTACTGGGCCAAAGCTTGCAGGTACTAGGCTTAGGATTTTTATTTTTTTTTTTGTAAAAATAATAGTAATAGTAAGAAATTGGTACACTGGAGTACTTAACTTGCTGTTATTCTTTCTATGCATATAAAGTTGTGAGAATATGAGAACATGAAAAATCAAATTTAGCTTGTCATAATGGAGAAGGTTTTTAGTACTGCTGAACCCTTGTTGTAAGATATATGCATTTGATATGATCATTTTTTCTGCGCAGTGAGAAAAGACTTGGTTGTTGTTGCTTTATATGATAATGTTTTACTCTAATTATATAGACCTGTTGCATTTTATTCATAGTTTTGTCATTGCTGAGTTTATGTTTATTTAATTTTAAGATTTCAAGCTTTCAGTGTCAAGCTTAGAGTAAACAGTGGATATTCATTTTTTGAGTGAAGTGGCAGTTTTCATGTAGTTTCTAATTTAATTTTACAGAACCTGAATTTATTCGTGTTTTCACAATTCTCCTGTCTGAAACTAGGATGTGGATCAATTTGGTCATTGGTGTGATTTGATTAAACTGTCTGGTCTGATCAGTTAGTCTATGTGGGAGGATCTGCTTATCAAGAAGTTTCACTAGTCATATGATGTGTGCATTTCAATTAATTTGTTGAGTTTACATTTTGAGAAATATTGATAGTGAATTGGTTTTGGGAAAATTTTGCCTGTCATTCTATGAAGTGAATCACAAACACTAGGAAGTAGGGGTAACATGGAGCTGTTTCTGAATTTTTATGCAGAAGCACAGCAAGAATTTGATGGGGATTGCTCAGTTCAGGTTTATAGTGTGCAAGCTAGCATTCCAAAGGATCCAGCTGTGCTTTGGAATGCAGAATTCATTCAAGCAGAGGAGCTCTTTAAGCAGCCCTCCTCAGTTGATAATTGCTTCAGAGACAATAGGTAGGTTCCGTAGCTTCCAAATATTTTATGCAGTATATAGCATTTGGTTTTGTCATGTGCTGGCAGATGGACATTGTGAAAGTATTAGGAGCTGTTTAGTTTCAGAATTAGTGCATCCGTAGAGGTATATGTTCTGTTCAATGATATTTGAGGGTTTAAGATTCTAGATTGTATAAAATAAAAATAAAAATTAGGGAGGCAAAACTTCAGTTTTCAAGTCCATGGATGTCATTTATGACTGTGGCAGGTCACGATAATTTCTCTTCCTTCGTAGATAAGAATATAAATTTTGTTACTGATACAGAAAGGGCAGAAAAATGGTGGATATGGCATTCTCCTCTGAAAAAGAAAACTTGTCTAACATGCAAGTCTTAATGTTACTTAGAATGCTTTCTTTGTTAATTATTCTGATTCTTTGTGGAAATTTTGCCTAAAGACTTGACGGATGCTGCTCATATTTTACACTGATTAGTGTTTTTGTTTTCATTTTGTTATCTTTGCTAAAAAGGATAAATGAACTTCTTTTATGTGTACACTTAACATAAGACTAGAAAAAATTTAGGACAGGTTTCTGTGAATTGCTTAAGTGGGAGTACTCAGCAAGTCGGCATCCTTGATCTTGATATTTATATGTATATACATAAAAGGAAAATAAAAAACAATTTACTTCTCAAGAGTCATAATAAAGTATTAAGCTATTTCCCATGACTATAATAACTTGCCAATGATACATTAACTCCCAAATTTGCAATGACATTAATAACTGTTACTATTTCCAACAAGTATCTTGATATTTCTTTCCCTAATTAATATTTCTTAATTTAAAAAAAAGACCAAAAATGTATCGATAATAGAAAATGCATGGAACCAAACTAAGATCCTTCCATCTTCTGCTTTTGGAAGGTACTATCTATGATGAGAATGATGGAGCACTAATTTAGGGTTTACAAAGAGAGATTGGTAGTAAGTCTTTCCATTGTTTTATTTGCATGGTTTTGGGTTAATAGGAAGTCTTCTTGCCCTCCCCTTTCGGTGCTCTTTTCTTATATGTTTTGATATTAGGATGTATCTGTCTTGGATCCATCTGAGATGTGTAATAGCATGAAGCATTTTAAATGGCAGAAAGGTTTTGGTTGGTTTTGCTTCATATCAACTAGAAGTGGTTTTCAAATTGGTGGATTTTTACATTAAATATGTTGAATTTTATACAAAAAAAGTGGTGATTTGATTTGTCTTCAATTCATTCTATGATTGTGCAATAACTTGCCCATTCTAAGATTTCAGTCTGCTGGTGAGCTCTGTTTACTGTTGTAACATACTTTTTAACTTCACTAGAATATTTAATTTCTGGAATCTCTTCAATAGTCAAGAAATGTAGTTGTTAATGAAAATGGTTATATCAATTTTCTTCTCCTGTTAAGGTGCTTGTCTCCTCTCTAAATGGACCTGCAGGCATAACTATCATGTACTAGTCCTGAAATGAGATACAATGCTTTCATTTCTATAATTAGAAAGATATGTTTGTGGTTTTCCTTGTGGCTAACTAGCATATCTCAGGTTCTGTGGGATCTCAAATTCTTTTGTACGGCGGAATGTGGATGGCCCACCAGTTGTTTTTGGAGCTTCACAAACAAAATCTGTTGTATGCGAGAGACCAACAATGAGTAACATAGTTCACCAACCTCCTAATAGAATAACATGTGATTCTGTTGTCAAAGTTGATGCCAAACCACAGAACGTTGCAAAAGACATCAAGAATGAAAGTAATGGTACAGGGAATACAGGAGTTCATGATAACATTAGCAAACCTGCTGCAGACAAAGAAAAGGCCCTTCCCATGCCCACAGGCAAAAAGAAAGTACAAGCCGATAAAAATGGGTCTATTGGAGGTTCATTGGCAAGCTTTTGGGGTCGTGCATCTGCAAAACCCAAGCCTGGCTCCCTGCCAGTGGAAAATAACACCATGGTTTCAAATCCTGCTGGTTGGTTCCAGTTGCAGTTTATTCCGTTTGCTTTGTTTTAGAATTTTCATATTTTTCTTGGTGATTATATTAGGATCATAATAATGCATCTCCAATATATTTATTAACACTTTTTCAGTATCTACTGAAGAGGCCCAAACTTCTGCTCGTGAAGCTGAAGAATGTGACAGCGGAGATGATGGTAATCAAGAAGTTTCATTGAGAAGGTCATCCAATAGGAAAAGAAGGGTTGTCTTTGATTTCTCAGATGAAGATGATGATGCCATCAATTTGGCATCACCTGATTTCCCAGATAAATCATCTTATGATTCTAGACAAAATGATAAGAAATCATCAGAGAAAGCCTCTTTGAATCTTGACATACAGATAGAAAATAAATCTAGGGTTAAGGAAGAGAGAGCAACTGACCAAAAAACTCACCTACCACTGAGAGATGTGTCTGTTATCAGCAAGTGCACAAGTACTGGGAAATCATCCACTGAGAAGTTGCAGAATTGTGCTCCTGAAGTTCATGTAGATGAGGATAGTGTAAACAATGCCGCTCCATGTTCTCCTAAGAGGAGAAAAGTGATGAAGACCCGGATTGATGAACGAGGGAGAGAAGGTTCTTACATTCTTCAATGCACTATTTTAACTCGGCAGTCCTTTTATACTTATAGCCTACAAGCTATGTATGATTATAACTATATGATTTACTGCGGAACTTACATTTTGAACTTAGTTCTTACAGAAATATCAGCTTTTCCTTTGTAATTGCATGATTTTGGGATGAACTAAATCAAAATGTTCAGTTAATCTCATTAACCATAAAGTTCTCGTATATGTTTTGTACCTTTTTCTCTTGTTTATGTTTTACTCTTTTCTCCAGTAACTGAAGTAGTCTGGGAGGGGGAGGAGACTGAACCGAAGAAACCTGACAAGGTTACAACAAAGAAAGCTGACAAGAATGCATCCACCAATGCAGTCAACAGGTTAGAGCTATTCTTCCTTATTGCTCATGCAGTTGAACTGAATGGCTAGAAATTGCCAGTACTTAAGAGCCAAATGACACCTGTTAGTTGTCCCATGAAGCATAATAAAGGTGCCTCCCTCATTAGGTTTGCTTTGCAACTTGAAAGGTATCTCTAAAGTTTCTTCAAGATCTTCTGACAGAAAAAATCTTGATTTCAGCAAATTGCTACTTGAAGGTTTTGCTTTAAATAATGGAGCCTATTTAAGAAGACCCTTAAATTATTGTTTGGTTTTGGCCTCAGCTTACAGTAATGAAAATCAGTATTGTAGAGCAAGGATATAAACATTTTTCACAATACAAAAACATCAATAAAATTTGTTTGGATTTTAGCATTTATGGTGAAGGTAAAAAACTACTGTATTCGTTTCCTTTACCTTTTCTAGGTTTAAAACTTGAGTCGTAAAAATATAGAAGGATCAATAAAAACATAGCTGTTGCAATTTGGATTGTAGTTTTAGTTACTTGGGAAATTGTCATTAATGGAATACCATTGTTCAAGTTATTTACAAATTGCTCCAAGACTACTGTCTAATTTATTTACAAAATTGCCACCAGTCAAGAACAGTGAGTAGAACTTTTTTGAGAACAAGAATTGTTAAGAAAATTGTTCTTAATTTTTGGGTTGAAACTGTTATTACAGGAGTCAAATGGACTCTATTTTGCCTGAAATTCAACGATATGAGCAGTTTGCTGCATATCCTCTCTGGCCATCAATAACATTTTTTATATCTAAAGCTTGTAGACTCCCCTTTTAATCTGGTTTTTATTATTTAAACTAAAATTTCCACTTGCTAAACAAAATATAACAATTTTATAACAATGTTTAAGCTTGATAATCATGACTAGCTTTATTCATTGCAATTCCAGTGCTCCAGCAACTAAGAAGCCACCAGCTAGTTCAAATACTACTTCCAATCCTACTGGGAAAGGAGGAAGCAAGAAAGCAGGAAACGCTAAGGATCCCAAACAGGGCAATATACTTTCATTTTTCAAGAGAGTTTGAGATTTACAATGTTCAAGAAACAATCCTTTTTGCTGGATCATTCATCAATGCTAGTTCCAATATGATCGTGAGGATTATTCAGATCTGGTTCTCTTAGTTGGGGTTTCACTGTAATCTGGATGCGAAATAGATGAAATAACTTGATGTATTGTGTTTACCTTACGCACACCAGTGCTAATATAATTAATAATACTCCGTTGCTTTTCTAGCCCTAATCAACGTAGTTCATATACAAAGTCCGTGCACAGAATCACGGTGTAATGCGTACACTCTTTGATTTTGAGGTTCTAAACTTGTCATGCCTAGCTCTGAGAGGAACTCTGTAAATAAGGTGAAAAGCGAGAATATAATATTTGATAGAACAAGTTTAGATGCATCATTTGATAGAACAAGTTTGTACTTGCTTTAAAATATAATACAAACGCACTAAAATTTGGAGGTGGGAAATCAATTCCTGAACTTCAGGTAAAGGTAATTGATTTGCCGAATTCGTACATTTGTTATTGTAAGTTCCTACATCACACATTAATTAGAGAAACCGGATTGTGACTTTTTTTTAGGTTGTTTAGTTGCCGATTGAACTGATGATCTTTTATCGTATTAAGATTTTGCGCAACCTTTTAAAATTACATGTAGCTTAAAAAATATAATTGTAAATATAAGTATACAGTTGAATGCAGTAGAAATGTATTAAGAAATTTGAAATTAATTTTAAAAAATAAGTATGAAAAGAAGGTTTTTACATATAATTCCAAAGGATTTTTTTTATTTTTTATGGTGTTCTGAATACCATTTGCCAGTCTTTTGAAATGAAATCCCCAGCCGCATTTTGTTATTATTTCTTAGTGTACTTGGTTAACAGTTGTGTCTAACATCTGGCTTGGGTAAACATTTTAGAACCTTTTATCAATTTTAAATACACATGTAATACGAGAATTTCAGATAATATATCCGACTATTTTGTTCACATCAGTTCTCCAATTTTTTAGTATAAACTCGATTTTATAAATCATTCACTTGCTAAACCAGCATGATCATCACACACTCCCTGTGAGAGTCCACCTTAACGGTCTGAATCTGTGCAATTCAATTCTATATTATAATATATATATATATATATATCAAATGAGATTTTCAGTTTTTGGATCCAGAGTGACTTTGAATCGTAGTCAAACTTTTGAAGTATACAATCGCGGGGTCAAAAGTACTGTAGGAAAAGTTGGCCAACAAGTGTTCTTGCATGAGCACAAATATGAAATCATGTTGAGAAATTGCCACATTGAACTTAGAGTTTGTATTTACCAAAGCTAGTGTCATCAGATACAGAACTGACATAACTTTTGTTCAATTGGTTGAGGAAACATAGCGTAGATGTCAAAGGTGAGTACAGATGGAAAGGAAAAAGAGTTGCTACCCTATGCAAGTTACCAAATCAATGAGATAACAATATACATGATTTACAATCTTTTCCCCTTGAATGTTACTATTTATACTCTGTTATTAACTGTCCCGAATCAGGTTAGTTGGCTCGCTCAAAACGTACTTGGGTAGCTCGTACTTTGCTCCTGCAAAACAAGTATTTGCACTAAGGATCACAAGAAGAAAACATTGATAGAGGTAAATATTCCAAGAAATGAGCATGCTACTCTGGCCCCATAATAACTAACATATGCAGCAATAGTACAAATTCTAGTCATTGGTTTCCATGAACTTAGTATTTCCAAGAATTTTGCTTCAGCAGTTTCATTATTAATATCACTTTACTCTTATTCTGTATATAACCTTAAAAAGCATGCCTGAAGTTTGTAATTGAATCTTGAGAGGCCCCAAATTTTGAGGTTAATTAATTTAGAACAAGAGGTAAAAGGAAAGTTTTAATTGAGAGCACATGTTTATGGGGTAGGGAAGCTTGGTGAGAAAGGTAATGGTGGGGCTACAGAGCTTTCTACAACAGTGTAATGTATTCCACCATACTCCATAATAAAGGGTGTAACGTGATTCGACTAAGCCTGGACCACAGTTTGATAATTAAGGAAAAAGTATGGTAGTGCTGCTGAAAGCCCACATGGTGGTTCATGGAAAAAATGTTCGTAAATGCTTTTATTTTAATCTCCAACTTCATAAACAGTATTATGATTTTAAAATCAAAGCAAATTTAATAAGTTTTCCCACTTGACCATAGTTAAATAATGTTACTGCTGATGTAAACCAAATTATATTGTATCCTGTAGATATATATATACACATATTGCTCCTATTTGTTTTGAAAATTTTGTTCAATATAGTAAATAATGTAATGGAACATGAAATAATTACCTCTTTCATCATAGCATACTGTCAAATCAGAACTCTGGACAATGACCCCAGCACTTTCCACAATTGCTTGTGCTAAAGCTAGATCAGCCTCAGCAGCAGCTCGAAGAGCATCCCAAATCTCTAACATGCAGAAAATCCGATATGCACTTCAATTAAACTTAATTAAAACAATTAAGATATGCAAAAGGCAAAAATGAAAAGTAGCACAATGATTCACAACAACATACCTTATAAACCTATATGATCTGAACTTTCTTTTTGGGGCAAGTTTAATGTGTTATATTATCTTATTGTCAAATTTGTTAAACATAATATCACTCTTGGGCTTGCCATTTTATTATTTATGAGAGCGCTTTGCTTTTTGACAATTTTCTACAATTAAATGCAATGGCTAATAGCCTGTTTGCACAAGATTATTTTTTACTATAAATGTGAAATTTGGCCTCTTGAGACACCTTGATCTATAAAGGAAATCAAGTGTTCCTTCTTGTTTCCGTGCTTAGGGAAGCCAAATTTCACTTTTGTGATGACATAAGTCTGAACCTATTTCATTCTTTCCGAACACAATGATCAGTCTTGCAATTGACTATTAAAAAAGAACCTCGATCCCATTCTCTTTCCTTGGGGCTAAGTGTTAATTCTATGATGGATTCTTTGAGCAATTATACCCAAGCATCAAATCAATCAATCATCATAGTCAATTTGAATTAATATACTTTCATTCCCGTGGTTCTTGGCCCAGTTTTCTATATATGAAACAAGACAGATAAAATTGTGTTACATATCCCATATATGCATGAGTTGCTAGCAAATAAACAGGACTCCCACAAAAGCACAACATTTTCAAAATTTTACTTGATGTAAATTTACCATCCTTCCTTCGAAAATTAGCTTTAAACATTAATGTAAATTTCACTCTTAGCATGGAGAATATCATCATCATCTGACTCTAGATACTTAAGGAAAACTAAGCATATTGCAGTATAAAGAATCAGAATACCAACTTAGAACAACCATTCTGTATGAGGCATCACGTTTAATAAATGCAAGAATAGATAAAACCTTTTGCTACAGTCCTAAAAGGATGATCAATCTGATATCACAACTTACATTTTCTCTTGCTCTATCCATACATTGCCAAGAAAATAAATGATGCCAAAAAATTTATTAAAAAAAATCAGCCATAAAGAAATTATTGAAAACTTTTTCTAATCCAACATGAAAGACTGGATATTTATCAAACTACAAAGATAAGTCACAGTCACAATAATCTCAGTCAGCCATCCACTCCCTTCAAGTTAAAATGTCATGTCCAACTCTTTTTTCAGATAAACAATCATCAATCAAATTGCCACAGTCCTCACACCATCATTTGAATTAATTATAACACAGACTCCCTAACTAAATTGTCTAGAGCCCCTAAGAAAAAGTCTTTGATAATGCACATTTTCACAAATTTCTTGTTAAATAAAATACTAACACATTTCAAAATCAGCTTTTTACGCAACCTCTGAATCAAATATGAACTAATGGAATTACTAGTTTAGGTTGGGATTCTATACAATCACCAAAGGTTATTGTCTCAATTTACATCTTCAATAATTACCAATTCTATTGTACAACATCCTGGTGGTAAGATAGAGGCGTCTTAAGAAATGGCCATCCTAGAAGAGATTGAAGCAAAACAACAAGCTAAGGATAATTAATTTAAATCAGTCAGAAAGGTAATAAAAAAAGTAATAGGAGCAATGCAGCAAACTATGGGACGTGAACTGATTCATATAAAAGCAATCATTTCCACCAAAACCTCTCATTATCTAAGTCAATTAATCTGCAATATGCCTTGAAAGGCTCAAAGTATGGTCATTTATCAGATGTGATGATACCTTTCCGACCACCATAGTGAGGAGCTGTATCCCAAAACTCATCCCGCAATTGTATCAGCTGAGTCTTTGTTATGGGCTGAGGATGCTTCCAAGGCTTAGGCTTTCGGATCTTTTTTACTGTCCCTGTTAATTTTCAATTTAATATTGTGTAAATGGCAACTGAAAATAAACTTCAATCTAAAACTTGAGCATTGTCATCTGGAACAAGCCACAAGAAAAAAAGTGACATAATGATGATGATAATAATAATAACAATATCCAAAACATTCTATACCATGTGAAAGGAAACAAATCAATGGAAGTGACATGCTGCAGCATACATATCCTATCATGGGTTAAAATTTGAATCAACATCATTCATTCTGAAAAAAAAACCTTTTTCCCTTTCACAACATTATATCAACAGGTAACAGATACCAAAATAGACAAATTTGAGGTAAGATTAACAAAAATGGCTCCTGCTAGTTGTAATGCTCCACCATGAATGTATCAGTGCATACATGCATCAATGCAGATCATAAGAAGAAAGACATGTTGGCCTTAGAAACGAAATGGCATATTCAAAAAAATGTTGCTACATCTTATTTCCAAGATAAACAAAACTGCAAGGCACATTCTCAGTATCACACACACAAACAAAAGAAGGGGAAACACATCATAGAGATAACTGGTAATATGTGAGCTTGAACTAACAATATATGATTTCTTTTACAGGATGGAACTTATTTTTACTAGTATTTGCACCGCTATCTTCACTTGTTACAGATCACATAGGTACACGTTCAGGTTAGACGAAAGGGGGAAATAAAAGATTAAGCTTTAGCGTAAGTCAGGATACTCAGGACACAGGTAGCATTATCATTTACCAATGGCATCAATTATCAATTAGAAGTTAATTTCATAAATATACATACATAAATTTCACTTTCTTCGGTTTCTAAAATAAACAAAGCTGTTTATAGACTTCGCACATTCAAATTTACACCAAATTACTGTAATTCAACCAAAATCTGAAAGATCCAAACTAAAACTGATAGTAGGAGGGTCCCAGCCAATAGTTTTCAATCTCAAAGGTACTAAACTAATTGAAAATTTATTTAACCTTTCCAGTTCGCACATCACAGGAATCAAGAGCAACCAATTTACATCCTCAATTCAATCACTAAAAACTAACCAAAAGTTACCCCATTAGAGACTAAATTTTCAAAATCAACAAAGAAGAGAGACATACCAAGCAAATCACTTGAACCTAAAGACAAATCTCAGCATCATGTGAAGTTTAAAACTTTGGCAGACCATCTTAACTAATATCCAAAGACAGCTATTAGCAACAATCAAACAGATTAAAAGAAGAAAAATTGCTTAGAAAAGCAAACACAAAAATAAAAGACCCTTAATGGTTCAAAGGGTAGGATTTTCATTGCTCAATACAAAATGTAGTAAAATATACAAAAACCAAATAACAGATTTGTTTTCCTTATGCAAGTTATTTCTTCCCCCATCAAAAAACACTATTTCTAGTTAACGTAGTTCTCACAAATATCAGCACCCCATCAAACAAAAGAACAGATTTTGAACCCAACCCAATATCAAATATGCACCAAAATCGAAAGCAAAGAAGAGGTTGGAGAGAAATCACACCATCAGGCTTGGATTGTGAGGATCCAGCACAACCCATTGCGGAAAAATGAGAACTTGGTTGGCAGAGAGAGAAGGGAAGATAAAGGAATGAACTTCACTGAGATGGCAAGTCAATGACGTAGGTTTGGCACATTAACCACTCAGTGGGTAATGCTAATGCTAATACTAATGCTAATGGGTACAGTCTACAATGTTATGTGGCCTTGTGTGGGGAGAAACTCTTCATACCGCCACCCTTTTCTATTCTTTTTTTTTTTTAGATAACATCTTAGTTTTATTATTTTAATTTCAATTCATGTAAAAAAAAGTTAAAATCATAGTTGATATTTGATATAATTATTTTTTTTATTTTATGATTATTTTTATATTAAAATATCTTCTTTAAAATAAATAAGTATAAATATATTGTATGATTATTTTAAAAGTTAATAAAATTTACAAATTTAAAAAAATATATAATAATTTAATGATAAAATTTAATCTAATAAATAAGATTAAATAAAAATATAAAATAAATTTTAAAATATTATAAAAAAATTCAAAATTTAAATTATTATTGAGTTAAAAAATAAGTCTTTTGAAATGAAAATTTATAAAATAAAAAAATAATTATTTATCTATCTTTAATTTAAATTTAAATATTTCATAAATATTATTATATTCAACAGTAAATAAAATTTAATTTTCTTACTTTGCAGTTCGCTTCACTTTTTAAGGAATAAAATAAAAAAATGTATTTAATATAAAAAAATTACTTAATATGATAAAAAAATCAAATCAAATTTTCAATTATTCATTTTTAAAAAAATTCTGAAAACATGTTTATTTAAGGATTTATATTTATAAATTATATAAAGACATCAATTATTTTTATTTTTTTTAAAACTTTGTTAAATGTGAGTATTTTAAACTTAATTTCTAAAACTGATGGGAATAAAAGTAATTGTCTCATAAATATTACATGATTTTTTTATGAAAGAAAGATGTAAAAAAAAGTTATATAAACAATAATTTTAGATAAAATTTAAACAAAAATAAATATTTAAAATTATATTGAACTTTTTATATTTTTCTTTTTCGAACGTAACAATTAAAGAGACGTGGCTCTGTTTAGCCAATTTTAGATGCCTCTCACGGGTGAGGCTGCCTCTTTGGTCGGGAAAATACCGTCCGTTCTTTATCCGCAAATAATTTTTATTAGTAATATTTTATTTATTTATATTTTTAAAAACACTATTTTGTATAATTTAATTCTCATTTTAAAAAAAATTTATTCTAGAGAATTAATTAATTGTGAAAATGTTAAAATATGCAATTTAGTTCATAATATAATACTTTTACTTATATAATGAAAATTGATTAAAATATACATAAGTTAATACATTTCAAAATTAAATTATATAAAACAAAAATTATAAAGACTCAAAATGAATAAATGAATGAAGTAGGAATGCAGTCTATTTTGAAAATATTAATCTCAATTGAGGTAAAAGTTAATTAAAAGTTATTCTTACCTTGCAACTCAAAAAGTCTAATTAAAATGGACCTTTTAAACAGTTTGAAAAATGTGATTCCTAATCATATTTATGTATAAAAAAAGTCTATTAAAAAATATGAAATTTATTTTATCGTTTTTTACACTTAAAAAGGGTGTATTCTTTTAATTTCAGATGAAAAACTAATTAACGAGAAAGTGATGCTATGATTCAAAGCAAAACATTAGGTACCAATTTTTTATTTTTATTTTATTTTGCTAAAGAAAGGTGTAAATTAAATATAAGAAAACAGAGTGATATTGGGTGCAACACGTTATGATGTGAAGATGGCATATGTACATTGGTTAGTGACAGAGGCTACGTAGCATTAATTTATGAAAAAAGTATTATTTTAGACATTAACTTTGCTGCCGCTTTTCTTTTCATTCTCTTTTTGATACATTTTTTTAATTAATTAAAATATACAAAAATAAGTAAGTTTTATTTTAATTAATATTTTTAGAATTTTTAATAAATAATAAAGAGTGCGTTGAAAAAGCATTTATCTTCTTTTTCTGGGTGTAAAAATATTTTATATTTTGATTAAAGGGAAAATCAGTAGATGATTGATTGTCAGAAAGAAAGAATCATAATAGCTCAATAATATGCGTCACTCAGAACAAATATAGAAAACAACACAGAAACATGTAAAGTGGTTGTTGGCTGTCAATGTTCCATACACTATGGTTTCTGTCATCTTTTTTTTATTCTAAGGATGCCAAGTTTCCAAATTATGTGATAATAAATTAGAAAAACCATACCAAATATGTAATGCTTAACACAAACTTTTTGAAATAAGATTTATGTACATTCAATAGTAAATAAGATTAATTAAATAAAAAGTAAGCCTTTTATATATATATATATATATATATATATAGAAAAATCTAAAATTTTTTATAAAAATCTAACGTACATCTAATAATTAGTGAAGTAATAAATTATAACATAAAATATTTAAATTAAATATAAAATTTTTTAGACTTACATTAATATAAAAAAATCTTTTCTCTTTAAAAATATTATAAATATTAAATAATCTTTCTAATAATTTAATACACTTACTAATAAGGCTAACAAAATATTGAATTAAGTATATTAAATATTATTAATATTTTAAAACAAAAGTCATAAAAGTATGGATATATTAAAACTATTTCTCTATTTATTAACTGTTCAACAAACCATAAATAAATTTATATGCTTTGAACTATCACAAACTTGTTTAGAAGAGATAATTTTAAAGATTATACTTTAATCGATAGAAAAAAGCTATTAATATTAGCATTTAACTAAAGAAATAAATTTTTTCATGATAAACAAAATTTTGAAAACTATACGTAAAAACTTAATTTTTTTCAGTTATTTTTGTTTTCACGTTTATCTCCTTTTTAATATTTTAGTATAAAATGATTAATTATTTAAGACAATCCAAACAAAATAATTTTTCCTAAAATTTTTTTTAGACTTCCTAAAATTATTTTTCACTCAGTATATCTAAACATAAACATAAAAATTCTTCACATAATTGATTATAACAATAATTATTTAATATCTCTAATTCACATTTATATTATAAATAAAATTTATCGTTGAATTAGGATATTTATAAGAGTTTTTTTTTCATTACGTAATGTAACTTTTCTTATTTTGTACATTTAAATTTATTTTTTATTTTCAATATTTTAAAAGAATAATATTTATATTTATTTTCAATTTTATTTAATTTAAATTCAAATATCGACTTAATATGTCTAATTAAATATATCATTTCTTTAAGATAAACTATGTTTTAAGATTATCACAATCTTAATTGAATTTTTTAAACTTGTGGCACATCATAATAGCAACGATTATATATCTTGATTAAAATAACTTATTTCAATAATTTTTTATTTTATTTTAATTCATTCTTGTATATTATAATAAAGTACTAATTAATTAATAATAATAATAATAATAATAATAATAATAATTTATTATTGTTATTTTAATTTATTTTTGTGTAAATCTATTTTATTTTAAAAACACATATAATACAAAAAAAACTGATTAATTAATAAAATAATTCAATCTAATCACACACTGCTTTTAAAATGATTGGTATTTGAGAAATGAGAATTGAGCATGTTACTATTATAAGTTTATTAATATTTAATCTTGGAATAGGTTCCAAGTAAGATATCCATCATCATAAATAAAAGTTGGGATATAGGCAAGATGCTCGTGCTGGTGGATAACTCGACCTAACCTTTAAAAGAGAAAGAGAATGATTTAAACAAAAGACAATGAACTGTGACAAATACATACTAACAAAGAAATCACCACAACAACCACTCACTATTTATACAACTTTTTCTAGCAACTATTCATGTATCACGTTCTTTTTTATTTCATGCATCAAAAGGTTCAAGTAACCATCACTTGATATCTAGAGAAACCACTCTCAAGTAAAAAATCTAGTTATGCATTAAATTCAAGTGTTTCATTTATATGAACCCATATGTTTAGTTTGTTTTAGAATTTATTTCTTAATTGACCAAGAGCTTAATTGCTTGCTTTTCCCTGAAGAATTCATTCTTGCACAATCAAAAATAAATCATGGCCGGGTAAATCCATTTGTAGACTGCTCTCATTTGATTTTAAAATTTTATAACATTCGGTATTACTCTAAAATTAAAGTGGTGTTTATTTTTATAATTAAAAATATTTAATAAAACTAAATAATTTCTTTCCTATTTCTTCATCACCAGTCCATTTTCACATTGGATTAATGACAACTGCTTGTATATTTTCTGCCAGCTTCATAATGCTTGTTGATTCATGATAGTACTACTCAGAAACAGTATTATACAAATTGTGCATTCATTACTTTTTTCTTTTTTGCTTTCAACAAGAATCTTGCAATTGAAAATAAATGAGCTAGGCATATTATTTATTCGAATATCCAACAGATAAGCAACAAATTGTTTTGGCAGATGGTTAAAGTGCATACATTAATCGGAAGACAACATAACCCCATTTTTAATAGAAATGAAGATGAATTGGTTGATGCAAATACCAAACAGGAAATGTAATTTGAATCATCTTCAATGTTCTGGCTTCTGACTTCTGACTTCTGACTCCCGAGTGTTTGATGGTTCAACTAAAAGATAAAGATAGAATTCAGGAAATGACTTGGAAAGAAACAAGTAGTTAAGAAGAGAGAGCAATCTCCTTGAAACTGAACAACTTTGTATGAGGGGATGCTAATTTTATCACATATATTTCAGCACATGGGTCAACATTAATCCTCCCACCTCTGCATGGTTCTCTAAGCAGAGAATATTTGGTTATAATACAGCTTCAGCTTCAAGTACATACAAACATCAAACAGATGTAGGTGCACATATTCAATATATAATGGAGAACAGAATACTAGTGAAAATAAATCATGCAAAACTTATTACTGAGAGTTGAATCTAAAGGACTCCTCGGATGCATACTTAGTCCTCATACTGTAATGATCAAACTTTGGATTCTTATGATCAGCAGCCCTTGTCTCAACCGGTTTAGCCTCGGCTCCAAAAATAACTTCTCCACTCTTTTCTCGTTGTCTATGTCTTGGCCTTTCTTTCTGGCTTTTAGATTTAGTGTATGGAGGAATCTCAGTAGATCCATAGAATTCAGCATACTCGGGTCGTTTTAAACGGTGCTTACTTGACATGGAGGGGTCCTTGAAACTGCTTGACTTTATCTTAGGGGGCTTCATTTCTGAATATTTTTCAGTTGTGCTTGGAGTATGGACCTGTGGTATCTGCCTATTTTCAGTAAGAGGAATAGGAGCATTTTTCCTATTGACCAATGGAGGCTGCACTTCATCTTCAGGCATCAAAAGACGATCTTTCAGTGGTGTTAGGCCTCTCTTGGAATTGCCAGATCTGAAATGCGATGGTATGAATTGAGTGAATGCACTCGCCAATGCTTCAAGGGAAAGTTTAGAAAGATCAACAACAAGCTGCCCAAAAGATGGCCATCCAGGCTCTTCTTTACTGCTCTCTAGGATTGGCATGTGTTTCTCATTGCTTGCTTGCACTTTGAACTCTCTTTCTGATGGTTGCTGCAGCATTTGTATAGTCTAATTAGCCAATCAGCAAGAATGAAAGACTTTCACAAAATAAACAGCATCACATAACAACTAAAATATACATACTTAGGCCAAATGAAAAATAGGATGTTATAGCAAAAAGATGACAGCGAAAATAGGTTAGCATTTTTTTATAATTATCTATGAAAATAGGAAAAAGAAAAAAACAAAATGTTTTCTCAAACCAAACAAACTCTTAAATGAGGGGCTGTTATACGCTATTATAAGTAGGGGTTATTTTTGTAAATTCAGTTGTGTAGAGTAAGGGTTATTTTTGTAAATTCTGTTGTGTTGTAAATTCTGATGTGTGGATAAGCTATATATAGCTGATCACAACAGAAATTGAGGTCATTCAATAACAAAAAACTTTCTGCACTATTATTCTCTTGTAATTCAAACTAAATCAATAAAGTGTTACGGGTTCCATTCCAATTCCTGGAATCCCTATTATCCAACCTCTTCGTTTTTCTAGATTCCTAGAACTGCTATATCAGGGGCTGAACTGAAATCCTCCGTTTTTTCTCCCGCAACCTCAGATCAGAAGTAAAAGACAATAAAGAAGAAAGAAAGGAGAGAAAATATCCCACTTTTTAAAAACAAAATAAGCAGTAAATTTTAGGTTTTGATTTCAACAGAAATCCGTGCAGTTTCAAATAATTCTACTCATGTTCTGACTCGTCAATAGCAGAAGTGTCCAAGATAAAACAGAATAATATTTGGCAACAAGTAGCATATCCTATTGTAGCAAAACAAACATACTGCTTTTGAGAAGAAAGAGGATCCAAACCCCTGCTGAAGCATACATGTAGCATATCCTACCAGAACAGCACCAACAACAGTAAGGATATCTGCAGAAAAACCAACAGAGTGGATAAATTCAGAAGTTAATAAGAGATACAGAGAATCTACAAGACTTACTATAGATGCAATCATACAATCACTGTTTTCACATTTACATATTCCTCAATTTTGCACTTCTCAGCTAAATCAGCAAATTCACATTTTCCAGTAACATCAGCACGTGAAGACATTTTATGTACGACACACATTCAGAGAACAATCTTTTGATAAAGAATAAATAAGATCCACCAAGAACATAGTGAAATTAAGTATGTCTAACTGTATTCATGGACCATGGCCAAGGGAGTTTAGGTCTGAGCAAACACGTCAGTTAGATGAACTAATTCCAAGTGTAGCGCAGCAGATGTTCTCTCAAATTTGAAGATGGGATCATACCAGATAAAGCTACCATTTCATATCAAGGACCTAATAGACAATTAAGCTACCCTTCCCAGCTTAACTAAACACACCACAAGGGACCCAAGTAAATCATCTTAGCAGCAACTCTCCAGCATATGATGTTCATAGTCGTCAACAAAAATTAACATACAGTATTTTTCTCCTTCCTTTCTTTATAACTCATTGGATGCCTTTAATCCTTTCTATTCCTTTATTTCTGTTTACAAGAGATATTCAACTTTAAAACCATGACTTCAAAATCAGATTCATCTGCTGCAAAGGCTAGAAATTTCTGTTCTTCAGACTTCAGTGAAGCATAAAGCATCCAAAACTTTCTTGTCTTGTTGTCATCACATGCTTGGAAGGTAAAGGAAAATGCAGCAGAGAATTATCAGCTCATATCAACAAATATTATTATACAAATGATAAAACATATCAAACATAAGCCTACAGCAACTTCTGAAGCAGATGGTGATGGCAAAATATGACGACAACATGACTGGGTCAGCCCCCTTTGTTGGTGGCTGAATGAGATTAACTAGGGTTTCAGTGCTATGGCGGCTGAACAACTTGAACTAGAGAGTTCTAACACTAACTAGAATCAGAAGGTTTTATTGATTGATTTACGTGAGTAAACTATACAATATTTATACACAAGATAACATCATCAAACCCTAGAGTTTAGGGATTAAAATCACCAAAGGAAAGAATAAAGTAGCTAAGGAAAGTAGGCAATCTAGTAAATAATACAAGGATATTTACAGAATCGGAATGATATAAACTACAATCAGCAAGTAGATAAGAATATAAACCTGTACTGGAAATTGAACTAGACTGATAATCACAGTCCTCTTGGTCAAGATAGATTTGCCGAAGAGCAGCATTTCCCCTATCAATAACCAACAAGGAACATGTAGGCCGAACATATACCACATCAAAATCATTTGAGAACTTAGCATCCTCACTAGGCCCATCCCTGTAGCCTGCAACAGGTGACTTTCCTCCAGCAATGGTTGTCACACCTAAACAACACTCACAAAGATCAGTAACAACATCCTTTTTCACCATTCTCACCGACAATTCTCCCAATACATTAGTATCTCATCTGTCAACAACTGCACAAAACAGGAATCACATGTTCAATGTATGGAAAGGAATTACTGATCCTGTAATATGCATACAGGACATGCACATAACGACTGGCTGTAGTTTTTGAATGAATGGGATTGACCATTATCTCATGCCAAACAGCTCTAACATGTTTCCAGTAAAAAGAATTCTTGAAGTGCATCTCAGGGTACTAGTAACACTTCAATAGAACTCCTATTAGTACATTAATGTTTAAATTCCATTCCAATGTTGTCAGGTACCAATACACCATGTTAGTCAAAACTACATCTTGAATTCTTGTAAGTTGTAACTAAATTCTCACATACCAGCATCTCCAATCTTTCTGATGGCCAGATTATGAGTATCAGCAACATATACATTCCCTTTATCATCCATGGTTATGCCTTGGGGATGATTGAAACGAGCGTCACTTGGCTTTCCATCCACATGGCCAGTGTAGCCCTGAAATGACCCAGCAACCAATCTTCCTCTACTATCTGCAGGTAACATAGATAGATAGCAGAAGGAATTAGAAGTACATGTTAGCGCAACGAATGAAGATTTAATCATCCTATTTTTCATTTAATCCAAATTCTTTTTAACAAGTCATATAACTTTCAATTCAAAAGAATTATGAAAAAAATAGGGACATCCTGTCAAAATTTCCATATCCTAACAAAACAAACTTGTTAATAACAAATTAACAATTATAAGAACTCAAGAGGATAAGAGCAACCATACATTGGGACAAAGGCGGAGTGATTCGAACAATGTTGCTATTACTTGCATCAACAGCAAAGAGTTCACCATCTTCTTCAGAGACACGGATTCTGTAAGGGATGACCCCAATCTCGTTTCCTTCTACAACAGTCTCAACCACATAACCATTCTCGAATTGAAGAACATTCCCGTCTGAAAGCAAAGAAACAACACTCAACAAATCACACACACACAAGACTAAAAAGCTCTCAGTACAACAGAAGATCAGCAACCTGAGTGTGGCGTCTTGGAGGTAGACCTTGTCCATTTGATGAGCGAAGAGAGATGCTTAATCAACGGCCCTGATTCATCAACATTGTTTAATTAAAGTAACAAAAAGAAAAAAAGGAAATAGCCACTAAAAAACTACCCAGTTAGGTATTGAGCAGCATTAAGCAAAAAGATTGAGAATTAAGCATGCCCATTACAAAAAAAAAAAAACTGAAAAATTGAAGTTGTTGAAGAAATGGGGGAGCGAGTTTTGCTTACCTGCAGGAGCAGCGTGAGGTTGAGAGTGGAGAGAGAAAGTGGGGGCTAGTGCAATGAGAACGTATAAGAATAGAAGATGGTTTCTCATAGCTATTTTGGGAATGATCTAAGAAAGGGGAAAGACAAAAATGAACGAAAAGTAATTGGGTAGGTGTTTAATCTGAGTTTGAGAAGAAGAGTGAAGGGAATGGCGGTGAAAGCAAACAAGTGGGTTCTTCTTCTACTACTTGAGCTTGTTGGCTTACACTCACAACACCGCCACTCTCTTACAGTGGAATGAATGTAAAGTGGTTTTGATATTTTAATAGTTGTTTTTTGCATTTACGCGGAAAGTGAGTTTTTCGAGGACCGGGGGGAAGCAAAGCAAGGCGATGATGCAATGAAAGTGAAATGCTTTTACTTCCATGCTCACCTTTCATTCTTTCTTTTCCTTTTAGAAATTAAAGAAAAAATGTCACTCTAATTTCAATTCTATATACCCTGCTAATATTTTCTAACACACTCAATATTATTATTCATTATAATTTAATAAAATTAAAAAATATAATAAAAACAATTATTTTAAAAAAATTGAATCTACATCATTTTTATACTTTTTAATAAATTATAATTAATAATTAGATATATTATAAAAAGTGTGTTATTGCCATTAATTTTTAAGTCTTATCAACAATAAGCTACTCCTAATGAATTATTAGTTCACAGAGGTGTATTTTTTATTTTATTTTATGCAATTCTCTTTCAACTGCATAAAACTAATACGGAAGCCTATTTTAACATCAAGTTTAAGTTGTAAAAATAAACTTGCGTTAAAATTCAAAATTGTAGAGCAGAGCAAACTAAAAAATGACCGTAGTGACCTAAGAGACAGTGAATTTCAAGAATGGAATGTAGAGATGATGATTGTTTTAGATTTTAGTATATATATATTTAAGTATGTTTTTCATTTCTTTATTTATTTTTGAACTTGGTCTTCAACAACATTAAAAATATCTTTATTGAGCTCACTCATGACTAAAGCAAAGAAGCTAACAAAGCTTGTTCAAGTTAATAGATAGTTGGATCTCTTAAGCATATTGAGAAGGGTTACATTTTTTTACCATAGATGAAAATTGTTTTGCTAAAAGATTGTATCAACTTAAGTAGTATTTTTGTCTCGAAAATAAATAGTTTTTAGCTAGTGAATGAAAGTCTAATAAGCTTTTGGGTCCCATCACCTTTGAGTTTAATAAACTTTTTGAACTGCCCCCAATGCTAGGCATTAAAAAATAAAAATAGATTCATTCCATTTTGGGATCGGATCCTTTGCAGTGTTGGCAGGAACTACAGGGAGCGCAGTGCATTTTTACTTAAGCGAAATTTAATGAAACGTGATTTTGGCTTAAACCAAAAAATTTAACTTAAGCAAATTTAGTTAAAAAGTGAATTTTTGCTTAAGTTAAAAAATTCTCTTAAGCCAAAATTGCGAAAAATTTTAAAACTTTATCTTCTTCCTTTTTAAACTACATAAAAGTTGAGAAATATTTGTGCAAAATCATGTGGTCAAACTTTACGATCATACAACAAAAACTTAAATGTTTCAAAACATGTAATATCACAACTATTTCTCAACCAAATTTTAAAAATTATCATTCATATAATTCTTATCATCATTCTCAATAATTTAACTTGATTATAAATGATTTTACCTCACTAATCTTTAGCACAAGTAGCACACTAAACAATACATTTAAAAATATTTGTAAAAAATCATATGATTACATTTTATAGTCATAATATAAAAATTTAAGTATTTCAAAACATGTAATATCACAATTATTTCTTAACCAATTTCTCAAAGTTATCATTCCTATAATCCTTATCATTATTTCAAACATTTAACTTGATTCTAAATGGTTCTTACTCACTAATATTTAGCACACTAGACAATACATTTAAAAATATTTGTGCAAGATCATATAATCACACTTTATAGTCATAATACAAAAACTTAAGTGTTTTAAAACATGTAATAGTGTAACTATTTCTCAACCAATTTCTAAAAGTTATCATTCTTATAATTCTTATTACAATTATTAATAATTTAACTTGATTTCAAATGATTTTATCTCACTAATGTTTAGCGCAAGTAGCACACTAGACAATACATTTGAAATATTTGGTGGGATATGAGTCTTTAGTAACTAGGTAATTATTGGTGAGAAACAAATGTTTCTTGAATGTTCTGCAGTTTAGAGAGGAAGAATATAAAGTTTTTAAAATTTTCACAATTTTGGCTTAAGCGAATTTTTTAGCTTAAGCGAAAATTCACTTTTTAACTAAATTCGTTTAAACTAATTTTTTTAACTTAAGCAAAAATCACTTTTGTTAAATTTTGTTTAAACAAATTTTTTTGCTTAAGTAAAAACACACTGCACCCTCTGCAGTTCCCGTCAACACTGCAGAGGATCCTCCATTTTGATACTTAAGTAGGAGAGAAATTACAAGATGATATAATTTATGATATATTATAAATTTAAATTAATTATTTTAAAAATTAAACATGTAAAAATATTTTTGATTTAAACTCAATTAAATTTTAGATTTGGTTTAAAAACCAAACTTATAAACACATATAATTTTAATTGTAAATAAACATATTACCTATACTTTATAAAATTACAATATTAACTTACTTTTTATATTATTATTCTTTAAGTTATATCTTATTAGTTTGTTATATTTATAATTTAAACTTTTGAAACACGGTTTCAAATTGTAAGTTATGTTTCCTTTTAAAATAAATTTAATTTTTAAGTAAATTTTTATTGCTTTAATTTAATCTTATTTAAATATAATAAATATTATAAAAATAAATTATAACTTATAAAAATAAATTTTAAAAAGTATAATATATATTATAAATCTTTTATTCAAAATTTGATTTAACTTAATAGTATTCCTACAATTTATTAAAAAATCCGCTGCTGATTTATCTATAATTAAACTGATTAATGATATGATAAAAAGTCGATAAAATTAAAATAGATTTTGCTTTTCCTTGAAAATAGATGCAATCTGATCCACCAAGCAACTGAGATGAAAAAAAATCCTAACAATCAGAACGTGCGTAAAGAGAGGGGATGACTTATACGCCGTGTTTGGTTCTATAAAAATCATAGTTATTGTCATCTATATAAGTACCCCTCTAACACAAACGCACCTTGTTCTTCTCATTTGCTAATTTTCTTCCCCATATCGTAGATCTACGATAGCACCTTTCAGCTACGGTGAATTTCTCCTTCCATCGCTTTGGTTTTTTTTTTCACGAGAATTCCCAGATCTGTATATTCCTCTTTTCCACCGCTTTTTGTAATCCCCGATTCGGTTTTTGCTTTTTGGCACGTGCGAATTAGGGTTTGAATTCGTGCTTGTCATTGCACGAGACCAGATCTAATTATATCGCATGCATTGGTATTGCATAGCTTGACGATTTATTTACTCATTCATTTATTTTTAGGTTGAATGCGGATGATGTATAATTCTCCGCTGCTTTTAATTGACGCGCTTTTGTTTTTTTAATGCGAATGAAGCCATCTTAGATTGTTTACATGGTAATCGTTCAATGCGTATTCGGTTTTAGGATCAGAAGGTTAAATCAGTAAAAACTGGGCATTGGTTGTTCCTGTAGGCTTTTCATTAAACTGGTAATTTGACTTGGCATATATTGAAGCGGTGCTAATGCATGACAATCGTTTTATTCCGGAATTTTACAACCGAAAGTGCTCCTTTTGCTTTGCTGTATTTATTTATTTTTTGTGTATTTGTTTGATTTGGTGTTTCTTGTGTCTGGTTGAATGCTCAAACTTGAATGAATCTCAGAGGGCTGTTTTAAGTTTCAGCTAGTTTTTCACTTTCTCAACCAACGTGCGAGTATCCCTAGAAATTGTGGGTTTTGAGTATTAGCTTGTATGACTTGTTTGGTTTAAGGAGATGGTTTCATGTGTAATCCCAGCTGCTCCTGTCCTCCCCAAACTCCATACAATAAAAGAACAAGGGAAATGGCATAATAATCAATAGTGTGTGAATTGTTGTCGACCATTTATTTGATAAATCGTCACTTTAATGCTGGAATATTCTTTAAAAGTTTATTTTTTTTTTGTTTCCCTCCTTTTCTGGTGGTATTTCTCTCACGGATGCTTGTTAAATGTTTGGTGCAGGTTAAGCTGGTTAGTGTGGTAAGATGGGAGGTGGATTTAGAGTTCTTCACTTAGTTAGGCCGTTTCTCTCGTTTCTTCCTGAAGTTCAGACTGCTGACCGGAAAGTGCCATTTAGAGAGAAGGTCATATATACTGTGATCTCTCTTTTCATTTTCCTGGTTTGTAGTCAGCTTCCTCTGTATGGAATACACTCAACTACAGGTGCAGATCCATTCTATTGGATGCGTGTTATCCTTGCCTCAAACCGTGGAACTGTCATGGAGCTTGGAATCACTCCCATTGTGACTTCTGGGCTAGTTATGCAACTTCTGGCTGGATCAAAGATCATTGAAGTGGATAACAATGTACGAGAGGATCGGGCCCTATTGTAAGTGTCTTTGTACTTATAATCTTTCAGTGAACATCCTTTTTTCTATTCACTGCTTGACTGCATCGATTAGATTAACTGTATAAAGTAAAATTCATTTAGTATGGCCATGTTACATCTTTAGGTTATTGATTTTACTCTTTGAGGGCACTGCTCTAGGGTGGCAAATTTTGTTTTATACTGTATATTGAGAAAATTCATTTTCATTATCCAGAAATGGAGCGCAGAAGCTACTTGGTATTTTGATAGCTCTTGGAGAGGCGGTTGCCTATGTTCTTTCAGGTATGTATGGTAGTGTGGGCCAACTTGGAGTAGGAAATGCCATCCTCATCATCACCCAGCTCTGTTTTGCGGGTATAATTGTGATATGTTTGGATGAGCTTCTTCAAAAAGGATATGGTCTGGGGTCTGGAATTTCCCTATTCATAGCAACTAATATCTGGTAAATTTCTAGTCTTCACTAATGAGATATTTCTGGCTTTAATCTAGAATGTTTCTGCTGTCTTGTAGCAATTACTAACCTGGCTATTTAACCTTTTATCAAAAACTTAGAAGAATTCCCTTGTTATTTTTCAGTGAAAACATCATATGGAAGGCATTTAGTCCCACCACCATTAATAGTGGACGCGGAGCCGAATTTGAAGGTGCTGTTATTGCTCTGTTCCATTTGTTGATAACTAGAACAGACAAGGTTCGCGCTCTTCGGGAGGCATTTTATCGGCAGAATCTTCCCAATGTGACAAATTTGCTTGCCACTGTCTTGATCTTCCTAATCGTGATATACTTCCAAGGTTTCCGTGTGGTCTTGCCTGTAAGATCAAAGAATGCTCGTGGACAACAGGGATCATATCCAATCAAGCTGTTTTATACCTCTAACATGCCCATCATTCTTCAGTCTGCCCTTGTTTCCAACCTCTACTTCATCTCCCAGGTAAGAATAATTGTATAATAACTCAGACTGAACATTTTTGGATTTACTATTTCAAAAATCTAATGTTATTGGAATTGTTCAGCTACTCCACCGGAAGTACAGCGGGAACTTCTTTGTAAATCTGTTGGGAAAATGGAAGGAATCTGAATATGGAGGTGGTCAGTCTATTCCTGTTGGCGGTATTGCATACTATGTAACTGCCCCATCCAGGTAAGAGAAGTGCTTCCAATCATACTGTTGATAAATCTATGTTCTTTGCCTTGTTTGGCATACTAATATGATATGATATAAATTGTCAACCAGTTATGTGCAGTGTTCTTTCTCATTGACAACCCTAATTTGTGTCTCTGCTCTATATATCTTGCAGCTTAGCTGATATGGCAGCCAATCCTTTCCATGCTTTGTTCTATCTTGTGTTTATGCTGACAGCCTGTGCCTTGTTCTCTAAAACTTGGATTGAAGTCTCTGGTTCATCTGCTAAAGATGTTGCCAAGCAGCTGAAGGTATTGTCTAGCATTCATTTTGCATACTCGTTTCTCTATTGACATAATATAATTCTTACATAGAGCAATATACTAGCCAGACTTACGTTTTTGCTATCTATAGAAGCAAGCAATACTGTGCTAAAGTCTAAACAACTAAATATTATATTGAGCTTCTACCCAGCACATTTTTTAAACCAGCATAAATTATTAATTAGAATTTAAACCTAAGGTATTCTTAAGTGGCCGATCGACTGGGAGATGCATGGTTAGTTGCACTTTGTCATTCTTGCTGGAGTTTGCATAACAATTAACTGTTCATAAATTTTGGGTGAACTGCTACAAGTATAGTGGTTGTGATATGCTACAAGATGGGGAAACATACGAATTGATAGGAAACTTAGAATAGGCACACTAGAAAATTATATATTGTGCTATTATTTACTTGAGTTCTCTACCAGATTTTACCTGGGTTCCTTTTTTTAGATGGAAACAGAGAAGTAAGAAGCTAAATTGTCTACTCTCTTTCACTGTTCTATCGGGTCCTATAGAGTTTACAATATTGGTTCAAGGTTGGGATGAATAATGTTTTGGTAAACCTTCTGTGGTTTGTGGCGAAATCTAACTTATAAAAGGTGTATTTCTGAAACTGAGTTTGATACCGGGAACTGTTTTATCATATGAAAATTCGCCTGCATTAAAAAATCATATAAAGGAAAAGTATCTATTATAGTAGTAAATTTCAGTGATCACAGAACATTGTGTAAATTTGCAGGAACAACAAATGGTAATGCCTGGACACCGTGAGTCAAACTTGCAGAAAGAACTGAATCGATACATTCCCACCGCCGCAGCATTTGGAGGCATGTGTATTGGTGCTTTGACAGTGTTGGCAGATTTTATGGGGGCCATTGGTTCAGGGACAGGTATATTACTTGCAGTAACGATCATCTATCAGTACTTTGAGACATTTGAGAAGGAGAGAGCTAGCGAGCTTGGCTTCTTTGGCTTCTAGGTTCTGCCAAGCAAATAATGTTGGTGACGCCAATGAGCTCTCCCGCACATCCTTTTAGGGATCGATGTACTTCTAGGTCGTTTAACACCGTCAGGAAAGACATAGAGCAGTTTATTGGTCTTTTTTTTCAACTGAGGAAGTATGAAGTAGTATATCATTGTAAACATTTTTGGATTTCCTCGAAATATACATTTTGTCTTCATAATTGAATTTATGAAAGTCTGACCAGTTTTAAAAGTGAATCTTAAATTTATCAGTTTTGTTATGGAAATCACTTAGTGTGCTGTGTTTTATGCATGCACTTTTTTCTGAGTTTGTGATCTTGCGCGATGCCTGGGCTGTCACTTACTCTGTTGGTGCTAATTAATCTTGGTTCTCATTTTGGCCTTGGCAATACTTTGGCTGCGTTTGGATAAATAATTTAATTTAGTATTTTTCAAAATAAATCTTTATTATGAGAATTTATGGTATAATTTTAAGAGCTTAATTTTGGTATATAGTTAGTGTAAAAAAAATTATATTGCTAATTAATTAGAATATATCAATGACATGGCTTTTATATTATCACAGAAATTAATTATGATTATTGATTTAGTAATGTGTGATTACATGTTAATGTAAAAAAAGTATATTGTCAGTATGTTAAAATTAAAATTTAATTATGAAATTTATTATGCCAAGTGAAATTATTTTATTAAATTATACCAAAAAAATATACAAATAAATTAAAAGTATTTTATAAGAGCCAAGCTATTTCTAAGTTTTCTCGAACTCTGCCTTTATTTATAAGGTCTCGTGACTTTTCTTGTAACAATAGCAAGTTTTATGAGGTGGCTAAGTTAAAAGGTAAGTTTTCTTGTTTGAAACAAATGAGCATGACTCGAGTGTCTCTAAACGTTGTTTTACTTAACCTTGCATTTTGTTGCAAGACACGCGAATAGTTGAAAGATCGCTGTTGGATAATTTGTCTATCCACCGATAGGTGTAACTTTCGACGTTGAGTTACAGTTAGATGTACTTTGCCAAAAAAATGTCATTGTTCTGTCCACCTTTTTGCGGGATTCGTTAAGGGATCCTTTTTAGATGATTTGCATTATTATGGTTAGGGATGATTTTCTAAAGTTGCTTCTACTGTATATTTTCTTTAAACTTATTGCGCAATTCATATGTCCAACCAAACTGTGATCTTTCGAAGTTGTTTGCTAGTTTTAGTATTTGTCTCCACAATTTTATAATGATCCTCGTCAATCGTCATGCATCAAGGATTGGAATTGGCATTAATCTGAAAAAAAAAATGGTAGTAACGGGTTAGCTCGTTGTGTGCGTACAGTGTATGTTCTAATAAGAAAAGGATAAATATCTAGTTGAATTTATTTGTGGATGCCATGGTTATACTTCTTTTACATGTTCATGACATTATTTTCAGAGTTCCTAGTTTATTGTCACGAAGCATTTTAAGGTTACTTGTTCAAGAGTATACGATGAATTCACTTTTCTTAAAATGTAGTGGACTGTATATAGGAATGCCAAAATTATTCACATAGATTAAAAATTGTTATAAAAAATATTCGCACCTGTAAAAATTTACAGCTTTAATAAAATAGATTTGTATTCACATGTACTCGTAGCTGTAAAATTATTAAAATATATTATATATATTCAAAACAATATGTTTCTAACATTTTTATTTTATGATAATTTTGATATATATTGAATTTAATATTATATTTTCATTATTTTAACAAAATACTGTACTTATTTTTCATTAAGTGCTTTATTTTTTTAATTATAAATTTATTTATAAATTGTTTTAAATTAATTTATCTTTAAAAAATTATATTTTTTAATAAATATCCATAGATATCAATGGATACTTATAGGCAATAATAAATGCATTTAAAATCTGCTTAACGAGTGCTGCATATAAATCTGTTTTGTCAGCATATATAGCATTATTTACATCTTGAGAAAATGATTTTGCATCATGTTAATTTGAGTAAGACTAATATAGAACTTTAGTTTTATTATGACATTATATCAAAACATGAAAGATCCTTTGACTCATGTAGGGTTTCCAAAGTCGACAAATCCATCTTAGCCACTTTCGTTTTATTTTTAAAGTGATTTAGTAATATAAGTTAAGTCTGATTTGAAATTCGTTTGAGTTGAGTAGGGCGATAAATTTTTTTTCTTCAAATTTTTAATATTATTAGTAAAATTGAAACTCATTACGTATTAAGTTAAAATGATTTTCTATTAATTGATGTTATGTGAGAATCAATTTAAGTGAGATTATTTTTTAAATACAAATACAGAGAAATATACAATGATACGATGTCGATCGTCATCTTCATATCAATTTCAAAGTTAAATATTTAAAATCATCCCAAAAAGTTACATATTTAATTATTTAATTGGAGATTATTCAATTTACCAAAAAATAGTAATAAAACCCACCAATAATAACCTTCATAATATAGGGAAAAATGTAATGTAATTCAATAAGGTTAGTTTCACTGATAGTCCTCTATTTAATGACTTCAAATTACTAAAAAGTCTAGAGCCCAACGAAGGTCTATGCAGGCTATAGACACACATATATTTAATAATATATTATAAAAATAATAAATAATAAAAATTATAAAATATATATAAATTTTTATTTTGCATTCTTAAAGTTTAAAAAAAAATAGGTTGATCTCGCATAAAGAGAAGAATGTTGGTGCCTGCACGACACGTTTTTGGGTTGTAAAACACCCAAAAACGTGCACTTCTACACCAATTAACTTTGGGTCTTGGGTACTTTTTTTTTTTTTGAGTTTGTAACTCTTTTTGACCAACCCAATCTACGTGGCAGAAATTATTATTGTCCTTAGTGTCCTTAACTTATCTGTTAAAAAAAATATTACTAATATATTTTTTTGTAATTTTTAATATTATTCATTTTTAACATTTTAATTAATATTAAAGACACGTTTTTACTGTTTTCAACATAAATTTTTAAAATCAGAAATAAAAAAGGGCAATATTTTTGTAATTAAATATAAAAAAAGTTTTTTTCAAATCATAAAATCTCTCGAAGTGACTGACCATATATGTAAATAAAATAAAAATAAGAAAACGTATAAAGAAATATTAAAAGAATAACTTAATTAAGTTGGTCTAAATCTCATGGGACATTCTCATAATATTTTTACTTTTGATAAAATTCACTTAAACCGTTGTTAATTATAATATAGAATGCACAAAATATATGATTTAGAAATATTAATCATATAAACCGTTGTTTAAATCCCTAAAAAGGTTATTTTATGTCTGTCACTTGCACCGATGTGGGAATAGTAAAGTGTTTGTCTATCTTATATAGACAATTTCATTTGTTAATTTTTATTCTTTTTAATTGAACAATGACAATTTTTATTCTTTGTTTTTAAAAGTTAGAAAACAAAAACAACGCTGAAATATTTGAATATAAATAAAATACCTTCGTTCTATTACAAAATTTACCTGAAATAAATATAATTACATGTTAACAATCTCAATCATCGTTAATTTTGTAAATTTTAAGGTTAAAATTAATAAAAAGATATCTATGATTAATAATGCCTTTAAAAGGCAAATAAGTTGACTTTATCATCAATTAAAAATATTAGACAAACAAAATTTTAATAGTTTAATAAATTATTTTACATCTACTATAAAAAATAATTACATCTACAAAATTTGAAAGATAAGTTTAAAATAAATTTATAGTATTTAATAATTATTTTTAAAAAACTTCATCTTTCTATGGTCCATGAAGAAAACGTAGTCCCCCGACCCTGATTATACTTCTGCACTAATGCAAAAACTTAAAATGATAATAAATTTAAACTTTTTTAGAACATTTTTACCAATAAATTTTATATATTATTCTGATAGCATAAATAAATCATCCGCTAAATTTTGAATAAGCACGTGTTGTTTTGTCACATAATTTTCAGTTGGAATGTAAATTATATATATTTTTTTAATAATATATTTAATACTTTAATATTAATATATTGTGCACTCGCGTACTGTGCGTTAAGTCCATGAAACGTGCATTTGTCTTTGGTTCATGGCTGCATGTACACGTGTGAATTAAATTCAAATTCGTAAATATTTATGTGACCTCGATCTAATTTTAATGCAATTTATTTAATTGATTTAGTTTTAAATTTTATTAATTTGTAAAAATGATAATAGAGTCGGATATAGGTGCCTCTATCTCTAAACTCGAATCCGTTAATTTCTTTATAAAATATATCAATTCAACTATTAAATTATTTTATATTATTTTTATAAATATTTATAATTTTTTCATTTTTATTTAAAAATATATTATTTGTTAAAATAGAATAAAATAAAAGATTAGTTAATAATTTTATTTTTATAAAAATATTTAAATTAATAATTGAATTGATTAATATCGTATTTTATAAAAAAATTGTTAAATAATACATGTATGAAAACTTGATATGGGGTGTCAACACATATTCTTTAGTTTTTATATGTTAAATCATATAATATACTTTGTATTTATGTTAAGTGTTTTATAAACAATATTTTGACTTAGTCCTGATTACTTTGATCCAATCATGTTTATTTATCACCCCAAATTATATGATGGAAGTCATCGTATTCTTGTTAATGCGGGTAAGAAAAATTATAAAATTTGTAAGAATTTTATACATGACTCTTCAAAACTAAAGAAAAAAATGTCATTTAATAGCTTAAGAAAAGATTTGTTCTCCAAAAGAGAATAATGGGCTTGGGTTAAGAAAGTTATGTAATCTGAATTTGATTATATGGTTAAGTTGGGTTGGAATTTTATTAATTGTCCTAATAATTTATATGGTTAAATTTTTTAGACCAAAATATAATTAGAATGGAAATTGTTTTCCTATTTTTGAAAATAATCATTTTGTTCTGTGATATAGAAAGGAATATGCAGAGTTTGAAAATTTTCATGCACAGGGCCTAGTTTAGGCCATTGGGGATGGGGTTAATGGTTAAATTTTGGAAAGATTATTGGATTTCAAGAATTAATAAGCTTGGTGTCCAGAATGTACTTAATGAGTTTTTTAATATTCCTGTTGCTTGTTTTTTAGTGAATGGTTAGTAGATTTTGAATAAGATTAAACTTTTTATTTGCAGTATTTTTGTGATTTAATTTATAATATTATTCCTCCTAATATTACTCCTAATATTAATGTTAAGGCTGATTTAGTGAGTTGGTACCCTA